CGTTAAAGTATAGCGCTCTTTAAAACAGCGCTATATATAAAAATATTACTCTTTTTTTTAAATACACATTTTTGTCACACTTGTCCAAAAGAACCACAAATGGATCTGGACCTACTCTAATACAGTCAATCCAGGTAAGACCCAAGACTATCGCATTGAGTGCTGTTCCCGTTACAATTTCACGTAAATGTCTTGAGAAATATTAAACGTGCAAAGAGATACAATAAAATTTAGGAGATGAAATTACGATTTCATTTTTGTAACAAGCTCAGTTGAGCTCGGCTCCACCTAATAATACCATATGCATGCACGAACATATTGTTATCGATCTAGTTTGAATAATAATAAAATAAAAGGAATTTAAACAGTATGTTGCAAAAACAAAAATATCATAATTAGATCAGTTATAAAGTACTAATTACATATATATTCTTATACTAGCTAGTAATTGGTTACGCTATTACGATTCATTAAACTACTAACCTACTACGATTGATTAAACATTTAAACTACATCAATGGTGGAAAAAGTCTTTACACTCTTGATAAATGTGTACGGGTAAAAATCGGGCTCATGATACACTCCGGCCTCCAACAGGATAAAACGAGCTCGAGATATGATTACGAAAGATCGGAATCGAAGCAAGGATATCCTTGAGTCAGAGTACGGGGGGCGACCATCGACCCTCGATAATATCGGGGTCATGATTCGAGATCGACCTAAAACCTGAAGGACTTCAGAGAGCATCGCCGGGCAATCAAGCACGACCAACAGGAGGCTGTAATATCCGTGACCGGTCGAATATCACGACGTGGATCTCGGCACATATTGATGTAGAACCGGCAATCCATTAAACAAAAGTTTTTTTTATCTTTTATAGAGTAATACTTAGAGTAGGATTCCCCTATTATATAAATGGGGTCTGATAATTCATTAAGTACGCTGTAACACGCATTCCAAAGCAATATACTATTATTTTCACTGTTATTCTAAGATTTTCTTTCATTCATCAATATTGACCGAGTCTGGATCGAGGACAAATAGTTCACTAAGGCTGAAGACATTCTCCCCGCGTAGTTTGAATTTACTGTATTTCTATTTGTTCGTTTTAATCCAATTTATCGTTTTGTATCAAATTAATCTGCGTATCCTTAAAGCCACTTACAAATTTAATTGTTATCCGATTTTAAGGGTAAACAGTTTGGCGCGCACCGTGGGGCTAAGGATAATAGTGACAATTTGATACAAATTTTCATAACACACTCTACTTCACACTTGTTCTTTGAAGTGTCTTTGATTTCAGGTATGCGTTTAAAATGTCGAACTCCTAATCTTCCCCTCTAAACACGGATGCTGAGTTTGGACACCATGGCGAGAACAACAATATAGCGCCCGGTAACGAGGTGCCCCCAGCCGATCCCAACGAAATTCCGGTCGCGGACCCGTTCGACACCAGCTCACATGTGGCCATCAACACGAATTTTCCCACCGATCCCGAGAACAACATCGCGAGGGAGTCTGATCGGTAGCCCAAAATGCTCATGACGGTGAAGAATATGGGATAAACTTACAGTGATCTTCGAAATGTTGCAGGATCAGCAGGCAGTGATAGCCCAACTGCAGAACCAAAGCCACGCTCCCAGTAGAGTTGAGCCCGAGTCATCCCGGAAAAACACTCACAGAAATGAACAAGCCACAGATAGTCCAAATGAAGCTGAACCCGAGAACAACCCTGAGATAATAAAGATGATCGAGAAATTGAAAAAGCGGGTGGAAATGGGGGAAAAGAAAATCGAAGCCAACGATAAGAAGGTGGAGACTTACAACTCCAGGGTCGACCAAATCCCCGAAGCGCCACCGATATTGAAAGGCCTAGACTCCAAAAAGTTTGTTCAGAAACCCTTCCCTCCGAGCACAGCCCCGAAGTCGATCCCTAAAAAGTTCTGTATGCCTGAAATTTCTAAGTACAACGGGACAACTGACCCAAATAAACATGTGACCTCATATACGTGTGCTATCAAAGGGAACGACCTAGAAGATGATGAGATCGAATCTGTCTTGCTTAAAAAGTTCGGGGAGACCTTATCAAAAGGAGCTATGATATGGCATCACAACTTACCCCCTAATTTTATTGACTTATTTGCCATGCTTGCAGATGCTTTTGTAAAAGCACACACCGGAGCCATCAAGGTTGAGGCTAGGAAATCAGACCTTTTCAAGGTAAAGCAAAGAGATAACGAGATGCTCAGGGAGTCCGTGTCAAGATTTCAAATGGAACGGATGGATTTGCCGTCGCTTTCCTCAATGTTATGGGTGTCTCGAGCTGCAGATCGAGCACCACCATGAATGCTATGTTCAGGTTCAGAACGTTAGCTTGCCTCAAGGGCCACATGCGAATTAACGTCTAGTGGTACTTTTACTCGAGCTTCAACGACATCGACAAGCGGCCTTCCGGACCTGGGCGTCAAGTTGTTGGTTTTATCTTGAAGGCCGGCTTCATTGTCGATAGGTAAAGCCATTAATCGGGGGTTTGTCCTTGCTAATCCGAAGTCAAAGATACTCTCGAAAGACAAGCGTAAAACGGTGTGTGTTGCAGGTTTGTATCAAACAACCACTGTTATCCTCAGCCCCACGGTGGGCGCCAAACTGTTTACCCGAAAAATCAGATAGAGTTGAATTTGTACGTAGTTCTAAGGGTATGCGGTATAGCTTGATACAAATCGTAAAGAGAAATAGAAATATCCAATTTTGAGTATAAGAACGAAAGATAAAAACTGTTGAAATGATGAAATAAATAGACCAGATAAGATGAAGTAAGAGAGCTCAAAGGATTAATCTTTCAATATAAGGAATTATCTTTTGTTACAATGTGTGAATGTCCCTCTCACAGAAACAACAATCATCCCCTTTATAGTGGAGGGATCCTACTTTAGATATAATAAAAAATACATAGTGGGGAACCCATGAGTAACTAGCTTTTCCCTAATTCGTGCCAGGATTCTCTCTCCTAGTGCGTTTGCAACGGCTCTTGTCTTTGAGATTGATATTGATTCGAGCTCGGTATTGACTCGAGCCCTCAATCTTGACTCGAGCTCGATTCTGACTCGGAGTCTGGTATTGATTCGTGGTCGGTGTAGGTCGGTCTATGTGTCTTAGGCTCGATAATTTCGCCTCGCCCCGTAATTCGATTTGGATATGAGCTCGATAATGATACCGAGCTTGTCATTGACCGGTCCTAGAACTCGAAACTTGGTGACCTGACTTCGAACCTCGACCTGGTATTACGAAGCCGCCCTTCGACCAAAGTATTATCATACCGACTACTCCGTATGACGGACTAATCGGTTTTGACCGTATATAATGGTACTCCAGTAGGCTGTAACTGTTCTATGGTGCTCCAGTAGAAGTGTTCTGTTTTCTTGTCATTCAACACGTGTCAACTTCGTCTAAGTGTTGCCACTCGAATTTACATACATGGGTCAACCTTGTCCGTCTTCGTAGCATTCGTTCGTAGAGTCAGTTGCTGATCTATTCCCCCCATTATCATCTTCAGCACATTGCAAAGCAAAAAGAAAGACATTTGCAAAATGAGTTTTCCAGAAGATTCCGCAAGCTGTGAGGAGGGGTTAATTCGAAAGCCATTACTGCCACCAAAAGGGAAAGACATGGCGCGGACGAGTTTTAGAGATGATTCAGCTAGCTCTGAGGAAGGGCTTATTAGGAAGCCATTGTTGCATACTGGGAGTTGGTATCGAATGGGGTCAAGGCAATCCAGCAATAGCATGATGGAATCATCGCCCCAAATACTTCGTGAATCAATCTCCATTTATCTCTGTGTCCTCATTGTTGCCTTAGGCTCCATCCAATTTGGCTTCACAGTATGACGACTAACTTTTTGTTTCTTTTTTCCCGTTATTTCACTGGACACATGATTTAAGAAAAGTTATGTCATTCTCTGTGTCCTCATTGTTATGTCATTCTTATAAGAGCATATATAAAAGTTAGTACCTTTAGTATCTTGTGATTTACAGAATGTCATGTCATTCTTGTAAGAGTACAATCGTTAAGTACAAACTGAACTTGTTAAGATTAAAAAGTTGTTTAAAGCCAAGGTGTTATTCTTTCTCAAATGAATCATGAAAGAGTAGTAATTGTTAACAATCACACATTGTTTTCTTTGTATTGATTACGTGTGGTTGGCTGACTATTTATGCAGTTGGGGTACACTAATCCTACGCAGTCTGACATCATGGACGACCTCGTACTTTCAATTTCAGAGGTTATTATTCTCTTTCTAGTAGTACATTATTGTTTTAGTCATCAATTTCATTATTTTCTTTTTAGGAGAAAATGTGCTTAGTATCTAGAGAACACAGTGTTAAATCAAGCCTGATATTTTGATAATGGTTAAAGTGCTACAAGGTTTCAGAGATTTTGAATATCACGGTTTTGATGTTATGTTAGAATAACTTCTCTTATTCTCATGAACAGTTTTCAATCTTTGGATCTTTAGCGAATGTGGGTGCAATGGTTGGTGCAATTGCAAGTGGTCAGATATCTGAATACGTTGGCCGAAAAGGGGTATAATGCCACATTCACTTGTACATTCACAAATTCTTACTACCCAGCAACAAAGTTTACTGGTTTTTTTATATGAATTTAACTTACGCACACTAACGGGTGCAAAAATGTTTTACACCATCAAAATATTTAACCTATCTTAGCCGTTACTTGCATAATTTTCTAGGTTACTATTCCACTTACTACGGACAGTAACCTATAGTTATCGTTTAGGTGACTTGCCAATATATATAGAAGTTAAACTCTTTATATAGATATTTTTGCTTTTGTTCCTTTATTTACGATTTACGCGCTCCTTTTATACTGCAATACAGATGCTAATGATTGCATCAATTCCTAATATTAGTGGATGGCTTGCTATTTCATTTGCCAGAGTGAGTGGTTACTTGTTACGTGGTGCATATTTCAGTTGTTTATTACAGGAAGTTTACTTGAATCAATGCATTTTCTACTACAGGACACTTCATTTTTATACATGGGAAGATTAATGGAAGGATTTGGTGTGGGCATTATTTCCTATGTGGTAAATTTTACTTGTTTTACATCTGTGATAGCTCTAGTTGAAGTTATAAATAGAAAACTCCTGCTTACCCAAATTCTTTCTGCTTGTTATGTATAGGTACCTGTATATATAGCGGAGATTTCACCTCAAAACATGAGAGGAGTCCTTGGATCCATTAATAATGTTGGTTTTGTTATGTGCTTTATTTCACTTATGACGCTAATCCATGGTCTTGCAATTATATCTTGATAAGTTAATGTTTAACGGTTCATTCCTTTAATGTTACTTTCTTGGCGTGTAGCTCTGTTTAACAGTTGGGACAATGTTGGCATATCTATTGGGTCTCTTTACACCTTGGAGAGTGCTTGCAATTTTAGGTGAGCGACGCGATCTTGTTGAAATACGATCAATTCCAAAAAAAGAGATATCTCAAGCCATCTGGTGCTTAATTGTTGACAAATAGATTGTTCTTTCCCTGTATTGTTAGTAGAATTCAATGGAGGTTTTTGTGACATTTCATCAAGTTTTTACGTACCGTTAATAGAATACAATTAGCATCATATACATTATTGGAAGTTCATTAGGACACATACTGATGTGATGTTATGTATTCTCAAGTTAATTGATGCAGCATGTTTGAATGAGATTATGATGTAATGCTTCTATCTTTATCATATCGAATTTGTGCTTTTTCCCTTTCATTTTGAGCAGTTGAACTGTGACATCACATCACTCATTTTCTTGAATCGAACATATTGGTTTCAGTCTTTCTAATAGTGAATTAATTTTAACTTACAATTCCACTCTGCAGGAATGTTGCCATGCACAATATTGATACCTGGTCTGTTTTTTATACCAGAATCTCCTCGTTGGTTGGTATGAGTAACAAACTTGGGTTTTGCTCCTACTTGGTCTTTGGTTTTTTGTTATGCTGATATTCCCTAGTGCTATGCATAGGCTAAAATGGGGAATTTTGAGGATTTCGAAACTTCTTTGCAAGTTCTAAGGGGATTTGACACTGACATATCCTTAGAAGTGAATGAGATTAAGGTAATTAATTGAATTAGTCATCTTAATATATTGATGTTCAACTGTTTTGAACCCTCAATTTGAATTCCCTAAGCTTCTTTGCTTCTCCAACTTATAAAATATTTTCGTACTTATTTGTTGTTTTTATCCTTTGCCCAGAGATCTGTGGGATCATCAAGTAAGAAAGCTACAATTAGGTTTTCTGAGCTTAAGAGAAAGCGATATTACTATCCTTTGCTGGTAAACTTGCGTATTTGTATTTTTAAGTTTCAAGAGATATGTAAACATACGCGACTTGAATACCCTTTACTCATCTTAAGGATCACTTCCGAGAGTTGGTTCTAATATGCAGATAGGTATAGGATTACTCACTCTCCAGCAACTCAGTGGCATTAATGGTGTCTTATTCTATTCCAGTAACATCTTCAAATCTGCTGGTTAGTCAATTCTTTGATTAGATAAATCTGCGTAGGAATATTAGGTGCATTTTCTTTCTTTTTATTCTGTTGGTAGAACTAGAAAAAGAGGACAAAATAGGATAAATGTGCAGATTGATCTAAGAAAACACCATGCTAACTTCTCTTTTATTTGCCAAAGTATTTCAAGATGTTCTGTCATTATATTGTACTCGTAGCTCTTAGTAATAGAGAAGCTATGTAATGAGCAATTAGTTCAACACATGGGTTTTAATTTCAATGCTCTTAAACTAATAGGAGTTTCATCGAGTAAAGCTGCAACATTTGGACTCGGGGCTATTCAGGTAAGCGTAAGTCCACTATGGGATATAGTGTTCATTTTTGTGAAGATATTGTTCTTAGTATTGATGGAAGAAGTACTTTTATAGGTCATTGTTACTGCTATAGCTGCATCACTTGTGGACAGGGCGGGTCGCAGGGTACTTCTTATTGTATGTCTTGCCACATTGATATTAGCTACATATTAAAGGAAAAACGTGCAAGCGAAAGATCACTTTTATATTGGCACGCTTTTTTTCAGATGTCCTCTTCGTTAATGACAGTTAGTAGCTTCCTTGTTGCAATAGCATTCTACCTAAAGGTAAGTGACTTAAATTTTACATGCATGAAAAGTCATCAAGCAATTATCGGAGCTAAGATTTCTTGCTTAATGTTGGTTTTGACCCTCCTTTATTCTCACTTTAATTCTTTTCTACTTTGCACAGGATCTTACGCCTGAATCTTGGCATCCTGCCTTAGGAATATTATCTCTGGTTGGACTTGTGGTATATTTCACGCTTTAACATCCACTTGTCTCCCTTTCTCTGGCGTTATGGGTGCTTTCTTATGTTTTTTAGAACCTTAACTAATGAATTTCCAGGTTTTGGTGATGGCATTTGGCCTGGGATTAGGGTCCATTCCATGGATCATAATGTCTGAGGTATGTGAAGCTAACTCATAGTTCATGAGATGAGAACAAGATATGTTTATGTTTATGTAAATGTAACAAAAGATCCAACCAACAGAAGAACATTTTTAGAAGAGGGAGAAACAAAAATATCATTGAGAACTTATAAGCAAAACTAGCAATTGCGATTCGAGGATGATTCAAGCCTTGGTGTTTATATCATATGAAATATGACATTATAGTTTCTAAAATCATATATGCAGATACTACCAGTGAACATTAAAAGTCTAGGAGGCAGTGTTGCTACACTGGCCAATTGGCTAACATCATGGATTGTTACAATGACAGCAAACTTGCTTTTGACTTGGAGCAAAGGAGGTTTCACTCATTACTGATCTTCTCTCCTATTTCTTTCTATGCTGTTGTAAGAACACTCTAAAAGTTATATTTTCCGCAGGAACATTCATCGTCTATGCAGTGATGTCGGCTTCTACAATTGTTTTTGTTAGACTTTGGGTTCCTGAAACCAAAGGAAGAACTCTTGAAGAGATTCAGCGTTCCTTCAGATGATGCAAACCAACTATGCAATTAAAGAGTACCCCAAGGGGTTGATTTCATGTATGATTACGATAATAGTAAATTCACGAAACTGTTTTTTGTGAACTTGTTATTGTAATAGTGGCCAAGTGGAGTGACAATAAAATAGTTTCGTGACATTACCACTGAAAAGTTATTGATACTACTTCAAATACTGTAACCCTTTACACTCTTATATTGTTCAAAGTATCTCTCTTATCAAGAGATCAATAATAAGCTGTAACAAATGCAGTTCGCTACATACTCTATTATCCTTCACTAACACATAAAATTTTTAACCTTTGAACCTCAAATAATATGACTAATATATTATGGACAGGAAGATTAAGTTCTTTTCCTTTTCATAAGAAAATAAAAATTACAAGAATACAGGAATTCTGTGGTATCTTGCTTAGTTTTGTGGTTTTTCTGCTTGCAGGGAAGTAATTGAGCAAATGTTTGAGATACCTACCTACTGCAGATATAGATTGCTCTGGTGATATTGCTTTAGGTCAACGATTCAAATTTCAAGTGGGTTATTATTGTACTTTTTTAATTCCCTTGTAAGAATTTCTTGCTCAACTAATTGACTATGAGCATATAAGCAAAAAATCGTCAGGTTTAGTACATCTCTCGTTTTACAATGCATCAAAATGGCTGCAGTATCCAAACAATTGCAATGATGAGTTATCTTTATGTATATTTATTAGGAGCTCTCATAATTAGCAACATTTGTTTTTTTGTGATTAAGTAATTTTTTTTTTTGGCGAAATACATAGATGTCTCTTTAAGTTGTTTACAAGAACTATTTAAACAAAGATATACTGTATAAGTTATTTTCTGATAACTAATATAGAGAAAAATAAAACAAAGAAAATAAAGTATACTCTAGCAGTTGTATAGAAAAAAGAAAGAGAGAGTAAACGAAGATTTAAAATATATTTTTCATTGTAAAAAAGGAGCAACAAGTGAATAAATCAGAAGAAAATAAATTTAAACAATTAAAAAAATGAAGGAAAAAAAAGATTTGAATGAAATTAGAAAGGGAGAAAAAAGAAAGAAAGAAAAAAGATAAATAAAAATAAAAGGAGAAAAAAGGTGAAAAAGAAATAAAAAAATTAAAAGAAATAAAAAAAAGGAGAAAAAATAAGAAAACAATAAGGATCAAGTATCATAATATGAGAATATGGAAGACGGAGATTAAAATAGGTATAAAGGATAATTATTTTAATAGGCACCATTGTAAATGAGAGAAAGTGGATATTAATGGGTAAATATTTTAAATTGTATAGACATTTTTGAATTTTTCCCTATTTCATATTCCTCTAGCTCTGCTTATCAAGCACGTCAAAATGGCATGATCTAATCATTTTTACGCGTGATTATTGAAAAATAGCTAGTATTTGCAAAGTTATTGAAAAGTAGTCATTATTTAAGGCGGAGATAAAATCTGGATAAAAATACCCTAGTTGAAACATGAAAAGTTCTAGCATAATATGCTGAATTATGGAACTTTTGTGTATAAACTTCCACCATGTTATGTTGAAGCTCCAACACATTATGCAGGAATCTCATATGTAAAAAAAATTGAATTTCAGCATATTATGGTAGATTTTTTTTGGATTTTAAGGTTGTTGTTGTTCAAATTTTATTTTCACATGAAAAATTGACTAAATTTTAATTATTTTTAAAACTATGACTAATTTTTAATTAGTAAATTAACCTTCTTCTTTTTTTTTTGGAAATTTTACCTCTTATAGCAAACTATTACACCCTATTTATTATAAACCAAAACCATTTTAGAATATTATTATCTATAGTTACTTTTTATATTTTATAGCAAAATAGGTATTTATTTATACCTGCTATCGAGGCATGAAATACACCAATTATGTTCTCTCTCTCTTCCTTCTCTCTCTTCGAGCAAAAAGGAACAAATCTTGCGAGAATCATCGTCAAGCAAAGAGAATGAGAGATCTATTATCAAGTTTCTACTCTCCAGATCCTAATTCTATTATCAAGCTTCTAGCCATGGCTACACCGGAGAAGATTTGAGGGCCTGATTTTTGTTCGTCTCCATTTTTAGTTTTAATGCAATGTATACAGTATTTTGCTTGGCCGAAAAATACCATATGCGGCGAACTTTCTTCTCTTTTTTGCTATTTAGTCACATACAATGATACAAATGCATTGTATTCTGTACAAATACACTCAAATACATTATATTTTTGTATAAATATATTATTTTTCTCTTGTATTTATATATTCCAAAGGTTTATATTTTTTGAATATATCAAAATATTACCGTGTTTTGTAATTTTTTGTTGTTTGAATACAATAATTGAATACGGTGAATTGAATACAATGTATAATTGTGTTTTTAGGTGGATTACTTTACTGTATTTAGAAATACATTCCCGCGAATACATGGAATACATAATTAAGTAGCTGTAATCCCTATTTTTTACCTCACTGTATTCATAAATACAGACGCGCGAATACATGAAATGCAACACAATAACATCGAAATTTATGTAGAATTGATTTTGTTGAGTTAAATTAGGAGTAATACACGCTAATTGATTCTCTTTCCGTTATTAAGCAATTTACTCCCCTATTATTTAGGTGAATTTCACTATTGTATTCATAAATACAGTAGAACGAATACAGTCGCACAACTGGACTCCCCTATTTTTTAGGCGAATTCTACTACTGTATTCATGAATACAGTAGCGCGAATACATCGAATACAGTCGCGTAACAACTAATGGTAGTTATAGGAAGTAATTATATATATGGTAACTATAGAAAGTTAATAATCACTAAACAATAGTGGTTTGTAAAAATATTTTTTTTTTCCATCAAGCGTGGAGTATAATCCAAGCAACCAAAGCCGCTTCTTGGGCCGCAGGTGTCGACTAGGCTAACCAGACAGTGGCCCATATAATGGAGTCACATGTTGGTAAGTTTCTAAAATTTCTGGCCCTGGTCAAGAAATCGCCGGAATAAAATTGAATTTTGGAAAACTAACATATGATGTTATTGTTTTCGGCGGGGATTTTAGAATTTGGAGTTTATAGGTTGGGGTTCATTTAAAGTTACTGCTCTTTAAATTAATATATATATATATNACAATCTGAGTTGAGCTAAAACTTGATCTTCTATCATTCCATATTTATACCAGCTAAGAAGTACCATACTTTGGTCATTTCATGTTACTACTAAAAAAGATATATTTATATAGTATAGTATATATATATATATAAAAGCTATATTCGATAAGATATATATACATCTTATATACTATATATAAGATGTATATATAGTATATTATAGTATATATACTAAATGAGATGTGTGTGTATATATATATATAAATAAAAGTGATATTCGATATTAAATAATGAATATTAAAATTTAGGATGTTAAATAAAATATAGGTCACAATTCTATAATAAAATTTATAGAGCATTGCTTTAGATATTTTTTTTAACATCCTTTTGTCTCTAATATCTATTTAATTATTTTTTAAAAAATAAATCTGTTGGGCCCACTTAGTCCATTTAGCCCCCGGGCCGGGACCGTTTAGCCCAGGACCAAACGGTCCCGGTCCCTACAAAAAGACCGTTTAGCCCGTTTAATTTGGGCCCGGCCCGGGATCGGGACCGTTTGAACCGACCCACTTGCCACCCTTACTCTGGTGTCTGGTCATTATGCCTTCCAGAGGATTTTCATGGTGATTATCACCCTATCTTATACGGCCTTCGTTTCAATTTAGATGAGCTAGTTTGACTTGGTACGGAGTTTAAGAAAAAAAAAAACTTTTGAAATTTGTGGTCTTAAAAGCTTAAGGTGTAAAAGCTTTGTAGGGTCATGACATTTGTGTGGTTATAAATACTTCTCATTAAGGGTAAAATAAAGAGTTTAAAGTTGAATTATTTTTAAATTTAAAAATATGTCATTTATTTTGGAACAGATTAAAAAGGAAAGTGTCTCTTCTAATTTAAAACAAAGGGAGTAAAAATATCACCACCTAAATGCCGATTGTCGGTCACCTTTAACCTGAAAAAATATATGACAAAGAAATTCACATAAAATATAATAACTAAAAACTAGCCACATGAATTGATGGTTACGCCTTATGTTAGCTCTAACGTCATTGGAGTTTCACTTATACTCCATCCGTCTTAATTTACTTGAAGGTGTTCAAATTTCAACAGTCAAATAAATTATTTTTTAATCATAATTTTTATATGCATTAAATATTTTAGATTATTAGTTATTATGGCTTATAGTATTTTCTTACGTAATTTTTAAATATGTAAATTTTATTTCGAAAAACTAAATTTTTTTTTGTCCAAATGCATGGTCAAAATTAAAAAGTTTGAATCTCGAAAAATAAAAAATATTAAATAAATTGGGACAAAGGGAGTATATGCTGATGACGCAAAATAAGTTCTACATTAAAGTTATCTATAGATAACTACCATAATAAATGAAATTAGTAAAATAAAATTACGTAAGATATTTAATTTGCTAAAGCAAGTGAAATTATTCTACTAGTTCAAGGCTTGGTCCAGCTTCTGGTGCACCCTCACTTTTCTTTTCTTTTCATTTCTTATCTTTATTCAGGTTTCCAATTCTTTTGCTTACCAAATAATTGCATAAGGAAACTAATTTATGTTTACTTTTGTGAGATCATTAATTTTTTTTCCTTTAATAATACGTTAAGTAAGTAAATGGACTTAAGCATACAGGTTTCGCAATCAACTTTTATGCCTCATGCTATAAATCATTAAAGCGGATTCAGAAACACATTTTTTTCATGACTAACAATAGTCTAGTAGTCAAAGTACCCAAAGCCACATAATTCCTTTGCTCTTATAGGTGAAAAAGATTAATCATTCATTTTGTAATTAACCTATTAAATATAACAATTAAAGAACACAATTTTTTTCTAATTACAGTGATTTGTTTGACCCAAAATTCAGACCCGGGCTTAACCAATTAGATTTAATAAAATAGAGTTAATCTTAGCCAATACTAATGTCCAAAAGATATGCTAGCTGATTTTGTAATAAGATAATACGTATATTATCTGAATGACTATAAATGTTGACAACACTAACAATATTCAATGACCTAAAAAGAGGGGGATATCATTAAGTAACAATAAA